CAACGTAAGTGGCTCATGCGCTCAGATCAAGAATACTCCTTGTACAGAATGTTGGCCAGCATCTTCAAATGATAGCATAGGATCTTTCATGGAATTTGAGTGGTTATGAGCTAGTAGCTTGAGCGGAGACGTGTGAATTTACTTAAACGGTCTGGAGTCCAGCTTCATTTAAGTTTAAATTCAGGGTTGTTTGACCTCGACCAGAAGGTAAATAGAAGAGTAGGCTCAGTAGCAGAATACCAGAAAGAGAAAGTATGTGAACGTGAAAAGAACATTAGTGTTTTATGCATATATAAATGTTTATGTCGATTGTATATCACAGTAAAGTAAACATTTACCTATATTTTAGTTGTTTTCATGTATTTATGCGAAGTCTTAGTTTATTTAGTGTCACAATGTATATGAATGAGTCTAAGCGTTATAGTGTTCTAATAACTGATGCGCTTTAAAAATAAGTGGTGCGGTCTGGTTGAAACAGTTTATGTAGCAAGCGTTTGAAGTTTAAAATATAATGACAGGTCTTTATTTCTAGGGGTAAACTGTTCCAGATCTTAGAATACATGACTATGAAGAAGTTTGGATGGAGTGCTGTCTTACAGTTTTTCCTAGATACTGTGCACGTTTGGTTACGAAGGTTGTAAGAGCCTTCCGGTGAGAACTGTATCTCCTTGCTGTCTGAGAATGATATTTTATGCAAGAATTTAAAGAAGAATGTTAGATTAATGCTGAGTCGTCTCATCCAGAGTGGGTCGATACCTAGAGTTATACACCTTGATGTGTAGTCCTTTTCGCAGTCAAATCCTAGTAGTTTAGACGTGAAGTATTGTTTGACACTTTCTATTTTAAGTTTGTCACTTACGCGAGTGCTGCTGAGAATAAATGGACAATATTCTAGTAGTGGTCTGACACAAGTTTTATATAATAATAGTTTCGCTTCGTAGTTGTGGAAATTCCTGAGTATGCATCCTAAGAGCCTCCTCGATTTATGCGTCTGCGTTGCCACATGCTCAGAAAATGTCAGGTCACTAGAGTACCTGAATCCTAGGTCAACAACACTTTGGAGTTTAGGCAAGCCAATAGATTCAAGTACCAGTTGGATATTTATTGAGGGTGCACCGAAACAGATCCAACCACATTTTTTAAGGTTGAATTTTAGGTTCCATGTGGACGACCATGCAGTTACTCTATCTAGTTCTTTCTGAACAGCATTCTGATAGTATCCTAAGTAATCACAGTGGAACGTGTAAGCTACTTTAAGATCATCTGCAAAGATGAATGATTTGCCAAGCGAGAAACAACTGCATATGTTGTTGACATATAGAGTGAATAGAAGGGGGCCTAAGACGCTATCTTGAACTACTCCAGAAGTGACTGGACTAGATTTAGAGTTTACAGGCCCCAGTCTAACTACTTGTTAAGGAGTGATTCAATCCATCCTAATAATGGGTTACGTATTCCTAAGGAGTTCAGCTTATTTATTAGAAGCAAATGGTCAACGCGGTCGAAGGCTTTGGAGATGTCGAAGTAGATGACTAGTACTAGTTGTTGTTCGTCTCGGCTACTGGTTATACAGTTAAAGAAGTTAAGGTGACAGGTCATGTTTTGTGCGGGCTATCTGATCTACTTTCAATATACAAACAAAAATGAAACTCTGTGGACAAACTACGAATGACTGTCTACAAAAACGATAACAAATGAGAAGCCTCTTTTCTTGAAGAGGCAAAACTTACATGAATTTAAATTTGTCTGATTTTAAGGCTTAGGTTGAGTGAGTTTTAATATTAATACTACTTGTCTGGCTCTAAGAAAAATATTGTATGTTTGGGGTGGAGCCCGATCTAATACTGAGGACGTTCTGTGTTACACTCATTGCTCGAATAACACTGAAGAAACAGACCACTAGCCTTCAGCTAAGTCCAAAGGAAGACAAAACTATCCCAGATAAAATTGTGCTAACGATAAGCTTGTAGTGACCCGTTTTATTACTCATCATCGCAGTATACTCTCACTATGTAATTGTACTTTGATTTGTTTATTACTCTAAATCTTGCATGTTAACAATTGATACCTTTTGTACTCGCTCGATTTTTGAATTTTGATTGCTGCAATAATACACTATCATATTCCTTCGCAAGTGCCTTTTGAATTACGTTGCGGATGTCGAGTAATCGCAACGTTAGGGCACAATTGTAAACGCGAGGAAGTATTAGGATATGTGTATACGCTAGTTCAATCAAAATATAGCAGCAACAAGCTACTGAGGAATTACAAGATTATCGTTCTACTTTACAAATTGTATCAGATAAACGTGGAACAAACCTTCAAATATGAGGTTATCTGGCATCCGAATACCAAGAACACAATAGATGAAAACAAAATAGTCCACAATTAAAAAGATTGTGTATTCATGCAAGAAGTGTGCGACACTCCAATGAATCACAGAAGGTCGAATTAGCACAAAATGTGAACTGGTATACAAAATGCAACTTTAGGGTTTGAAGGCACAATATCCGAGGTAACACTACTCCTGGTTTTTTCCAAACAGTCAGTGAAATAGCATTTACAGTAACATATTGAGCTGTCGGGAGAAATGGTCGCAGAACACGCTCACACACTGAACTCCAAACAGAGAGAAGAAATCCACTAACTAACCACATGCACTCCCTAAACTTATATAAGCAACCCTTGCACAGCACACACACGTGAACACATTCTTAACTAGTACACACTACTCTTGGTTACCAGGGCTTACACCAGTAGGCCTAGATATCTCCCTAATAAGCCCAATTTCCCCTCGCTTCCATGAGAGAGACTTTCCTCATGTGGCTTACCAGTACTCCCCTAGCTGTCCTCACCTCCTTCTGTCTGATTAAACCGTCTCAGCTAGGAAACATCCATTTCACGAGCCCGATTGGCCATTGATTCCTACCAGTGAAGTCTATACTGTGACAACTAATTCTCCAGCCTGCACATTCTTCTTATGTCCACCCGTTTGTGTCACTAAATAACAAGGACGCCTTTAAGCGAAGGCTGGACAACCACGCAGCGACACAAGGACTTCATCAAAATGGCCTATCCCCTTAAAATCGCATACACCATTCAAAGGTAGACAATTAAACCGGTCGTTTTACTTCTTCACATTCTCTTCAGTCTTACTCTCCTGACACCTTTAACTACACCTATTATTATTATTACTGGTATATATATACCGGTTGACTGACTGTTGTTACGTTTTCTTATTCTTTGTCTGTCTGTTAGTCTGAATACCTTTACTAATTATATCTATTATTGTTATTATCTCTTTTCTATTGACGACGATACCGAAGGACCAACTGGTGAAAGGATCAACTCCATTCACAGTAGTAACAGTCTTAACACACTTCATACTACAAACCACATATAATTAATCCCTGCACTACTCCTTTTGGAGTCAACCAAAGCTACGGCAGTCGAGTGGCGGGACGAGCTACGCAGACGTTTACCGAAGATCAGGAACCTCTACCTCACAATCAAGAGGGGAGCACAAAGAAATTAAATTGGTTTATACTAGCTCGTAAAAATGATATTGGACGATATTGGACCCAGTGTGAAACTACCTTTCGCAAGAGTGTATTTCACCTATCTGAATCAGGGAATAGCCCGTTCAGGATTACCCACTGATGTCAACTCACATAGAAACACTTTTCGAGAAGCCGGGGATTTATAGCTGATCTTTCACTACCGAAGGTCCCAACAGTCTTTCTCCATGCATGATCCACTCAGAAAGGAAATGACACGGCACCGAATTTATGGACAGTTAATTCACACTCAGGAGCCTTTTGTGTTATTCCACCATCCTTCGAAAATAACTGACAAAATGCTTCTCTGTCTTGTTTCGGAATCTTCACGTGTAAAAACTTTTATCCTGTGTAAGCGGCAAATGCTGCAACACCAACTCTGAGGTGTAAGGTACCCCACCTGAATTACTGACGGTATTTGGTCGCCATGATGATTTGTTATTCAGGAATGTTCCTCTGTAACTAGCCGAGAAGTCGAAAACTACTTCAAGCTTTTCAGGCTTTTACAGATTCAAATCCGGATGACGAGGTATATACCAACCAATGTACTCATTCTGGATGAGCATACATTCCAAACAGTTCTACTACGTGTCCTTTCAATAAGTGTCTTGACATGACTTTTTTATACTCATTCACCTAATTAATGGGAAATGAAGAGACGGCTGGGACTTAATCTCAAAAGTAAGTCTCTGTCTACCTTGTTCTACCAGTGTTAATTAATCGGGCAAGGAACTTATCATAAAGTTGATGTTCGCTTCCCAGTCACATACGAATAGAAAATTTGAAGAACGCCTCCCTTTGCAAGCGACAATTGATTCCTGGTGAAGATAATGAGTTTTACAGCTAGTCTGTACATTTACCTTATGTATCTAGCCCCAACTTACAGGCACACTACCATCATTGTTCAAGCCATTCACAGACAGAACGCCTAATCAATGTAGGCAAATCGTGTTTGCGAAAAGTATCTACGATTTAATGAAAATGGCCAGTTATTATTTTCACTGCAAAGCAGACGAGTAACTCAGAGTAAGCATAAATTTTTCTGCCATAACCACGTTGGAAAATGTGTTTTAAGGTAACCGTACTTTACAGACAAATACCTGAACATGACAAGCACACTCTTCTTTAAAGTCCCTTGAGTGGACACTGGGAGAAACTATTTGAGATGGCTTATAAACACCCAAATGAATTTGAGAATGATTCACCTGACTAGAACAATTTGATATTTACAAGGTTTGTACAAAGAAATATTGAGTTATTCCTATGTGAATATTGTCAGTTTCCCTCCAGATCCTTCAAGAAAATTAAAGCAAGGATATTTAGATGCTTTACTCGAATAGTCTAACCATACTGAAATTTCGCTTTGTTGCATTTACCACAATGCTCAATTTACAATGTTAACTGTTGTTTGTTGACATCAATTTCAAGATCATTTAGAAAATGCGCGTCAGTTTAAAAACGTTTTCTGTTAGCATTTTCGAAGGGTAACTACTAATTTGCTTGATTTTGTTGACTGCTAACGTTATGCTTTGTAGTCATGTATAAAAAGATAAATATCTCATTGAGATTATATGTAAGGGATAGTTCTAATTATCGAGATTGTGATAATTGCTATAGTTCTCTAAATGACTCCTATATATGTTAAGAAGGATGTCTTTTCATTTTCATTCTACTGAATTTTCCCCTCGTTTGGCAACCTAATGATTCCATAATTCTCAGTCATTAAGTAGTATGTTTTACTTTATGCTATTCAAATAGTTAATTCATTCTTGTTCAGTAAGAGCTGAACTTAAAGAGCATTATGCTTTTTATGTGGTTAACTTTAAGTATTTCAGAAATTGAGATTTAACGAGAAAATCGGATGTGTGAAATCTGCTTTTTTATAGACTCTTAGTAAATAGATTAACGTGTAGTGGATCGAAGGAGACAGTATCTTTAACGAATTCGCTAAATTACTATTGTACACATACTGTTTGTCATAAGGCGAAATGACTTCATGCAAAATCCTTGCATGAAATAAAGCACTCACAGGTTTTTGGAACAGATTTTCAGTGCCAAACTTTAATACCATCTCAACCATCCCGAAGTGCTTAGTGATGTCATGAGTTAGGTTCAAAGCCATAAAATATGTGAATAACAAGGATGATAACCAAAGCGAAATCCTGGTTTTGAACATATTCACCCTATACGTAAATAATTTCTAAATAGATCCCATAGGTCAGACTCTTTTTTCTGGCAAGTTAGTTAGACTTTGTGAAAGAACTGTCAGCCTGTTCACTTATTAGCCCCTACTCAAAATAACGTCCGAAGTTAATGTTTGGCCATCAACTGGGGTTGACGTCAGACTTGGCTGCACAACAAGCTGACTAATTGACTTGACTCTACATAAGTTGGTTGTCAGACGTCTGTTGACACTGGCCAACTAATTTAGGTAAATATTACAATTAAGCCTACCTGATGATGTATATTTGTGAAGAAAGTAATATGAAGTTCTGAAAATGTACCAGTCCAAAAGAGTGTACCAGCCGCACCTTTTTTCAAACCATAATTGTCCGCGATGCATTTTTTGTACTGCAGCAATATAAATAAAGGAATGTATCAGTGGGAATGAAATATTTAAAGCTCGTTTCAATCCACGTATTCCTTCAGTCCCCTACGAACTGACTATCGTTGTTTTATGCGAAAGTCTGAAACACAGCGACATAGTGACTGCTAAGAAACTGATAGAAATTTGTTTCAAAGCAATGCCTTTAAAACAGCAAAGTATAGATAAGACACACCCAGGTAATTTTACCATAGATGATCCCTCAGGCTTCTAGTAGGGAAAACATTCTAAGTGTAGTCAGAGGAAGGAATTTGTAAGCGGTTAAAGTTAGACGCCACTGCCATCCGAAAGTGATTATGGATATATAAATCATTAGCATGATGCCTTCTGCTGCTTATGTTCAGAAAAAACTAAGTTGGACGGTTAAAACTTTAGGAAAGATTATTTGATAATGCAGAATAAGACATGTTTAAGTCGGTATTAATCAAATTGGGCTTGTAATGTTCGGGGAACTTTCAGCTCATTTACTGGTGGGTCGCAGACGGATATGACTATGAATATAGTTATGCAGTTAAGTGTCCCGCCTAATAAACTTAAGTGTAGGTCAAACCGCTAGTTAGCGCGTGATATTCAACTGTCAACCAAAGGGCGTGTGTACTGCTCAGCAGTCCACCCCGTCCTCCTTTATGGATGTGAGCAAGACATGGCCACTGAAAGTGGAATACATGAAAAAGCTAGCTGTCTTTGATCATAGGTACCTGTGTTGGGTGGTGGTATAATAGGGTGAGCAATATTGAGGTTAGGCATTGGTCGAGTGCTAGGTAAGGAGGGAGGGGAAATTAATCGATGAGGGTGGGAAGTTACATAGATTGAGTTGGTTAGGACATGTGCTACGTATGCCTAGTCACCGCCTTCGTCGACGGGCAATGTTAGCTGACATAGGGTCAGTCTGGAAAAGAGCCAGGTTTTCAATCCAAAACATGGCTCCATCAGTAAATGAAATTCGCAACAGTTAGTTTAAGCCAGCTAGGTAGGAAGGTGTAGACTTCCTGGTTAGGGTCCTCGGGATGGTAAACACCAATAGCTGGATATAGTCGGTGATATGACTCAAAATAGTTCTCAGTGTCTGGCGCAGATGCATCCACTCCCTGTGACTTATATTATACCCAATAAAACTATATTGTTCTTCGTTATTACTATTCTTTTCGCCTTATATCTCTGTTGACTGTCTCAATATTGCATTTCATTTTACTTTCTTCTCTGGCTTTGTATGCTGAGTGAAGTGTGGTGACCCGAACTGCTGCACATTGGTGCATAGTTCTATGTTGAAACCAGTCAGTCAATATAGGTAACGCGTAGGTTCGGTATGCTTTAACTAGATCACTGCACTTCTTAAATACCACCGAAATGATGAAGACAGAATCTTAAGGTCACGTTTGCTTATGGATTTATCTAGTTAGAGAGAATTATGGAAAACTGTGGGAACATACCAAGTAAACATAGTACGACCTGTGACCACTTCTTCTCTCAGATTTCAGTCGTGCACGACTATCTTCCTAGAAGGCCAATCGGATTGAACAAGATGGATAAATTATTTCGATTTCGCGTAGGTTTGAGGAACTTCTTTGATGTCGCACAGTGTAAATGGTCATTGAAGCCAGTAATCTCAACGAATTATGTATAGACTATACTCGCAATCTAACTTTTCTTCTTGTATGATTTCACCATTCCATTGTACTGCTGTAATGGTGTGATGAAGACAATGTGTGCCAACGGAATTCTATTCTCACATGTTCCCAAAGTTCATTTCGGCATTAGCAACGGAATACGATACATTCATTTGAACATTCTATTTGATGCTACAGAGAGAATTTTTTTCCCACAGTTAAATTCGGCATTAGCAACAGAATAATATGTATATTTGAACATTCTATTTTATGTCGTTGGATGTAAACCGAAATCACACACTCAGTGATTCGTTAACGAATATTACCTGTAGATATATAAATAGAGGTCTGAGTAACGAAAAATATACTTTGGCTTCCGTGTCTTGACTTCTGTTGCTACACTGCTATCAGGTAAGAAGCCTACTTCATCGTGAACAGCCTGAATAATATGCAGATTGCTCCTGAAATATTTAAACATTTTTAAACAACAAGCGACAGATGTATAACTTGTTGTTCGATGTAAAATAGTAGACAGTGTTAATTTATGGAAAGTATCCTTTGATGAAAATTAATCAGGTAAATGTCCACATTATGTGATGTTTAAATATTGATTTCACCGATAACCATGGGTATCTTAGTTAGATTGTCCGTGTTAGCTATAATCGTATAAGTAAGATTGAAGTTAGTTGTAGAGTACTAGGTGAGTAAGGTAAAGTTAGTTGCTGGAGTTATTAAGCTCAACTGGCTGAGGCTCCCAGGATGTACTTCACTCACAACCTTCTACACCTTCATCACCAAGCAGCACTGGTTAAGGCATCACAAGCCTTAGAAAGAGTAACAATTCTTGAGATGATATAAACCTATGGTTAGCAGGACCATTAGTCCAAAATGTTATAATTCTGCCCTGGCTTTTGAGCTGTCTCACTATGTTCTCTGAGATGTTCTGACCTAATAAAAAACAGAAGAGAAGATAGATCAGATTCGTGTTCATTTCTTAGGATTTTGAACATTGTACAATATGATAATGGGAAGAGATTCAAAATGTTAAGTCCTCCTTCATATGATAAATTAGTCGTACCAGGAATCACTGGTGTGGCTTTTCTAGGATCCCTTCCTAGAATATATGAGTTCTCTCTTAAGACAATTGCTGGTTGCCTAGATGCAGTTTTATAGTTTTGGCGTCACCAGAGATGTATGTAAAGTGGTGAATGCTCCCCTGGTGATATAAAATTATTATCTTACTGTCGTTCGTCAATGATGCAGCAGTGGAATTCTCACTAACCATGCTTTACGTGGTTCGAGATTCGACTCCCGGATGATGTACTCCTAAACCTCAATTAGTGGGTAGTAAATCTAGTAGAGAGGAAAGTTTGGTGCGAGATTAGAAACCCCACCTTGTAAGAAATAAACATCAGTGTTACTGAAACTTCAACGCTAAAATGTTTGAAACTCCAAGTTCTACTAGGAACGCAAAGGCATAAAATTCCCCCCCTCCCGCCAAAAAATCATATTCTTTTGTCCCTCTTGATTTGATTCACTCTTTCAGTTAAACGTATCGTAATTTAAATCATTATTCTGTTTATATATTTTAGAATCATCAAACTCCAGACATAACTCATTTCAATCATTCAGTCAGCTAAATACATACACATTCAATGATCAATTCAGATAAATCTTATTCAGAATATCATAAATGTTTAGGAGTGGAGAAAAGAAATTCAAAGTATTCCACATCATCAGATTGGTCGGATAGTGAAGAAATGCATTTAGATTGGTGTAGGAAACGCAGAGAACAATACTGTTTATATTGTATACATAAAATATTAATCTATTTAGAAATATTAACAATGAGTATAACATTTTTCAGTCCGCTTGTAATGCTTCTCCTACCATCGGTTTATTCATCTAATTGGCTTTCATCGCTCTCATCGACTATATCCCCGGCGTCAACATCATCATCATCAGTAGCAGCAACAGTAGCAACAGCAGATAAAAAAATTGTACACAAACGTAATAAAATCTTTAATCGAAACTTTCCACATTCTCATCCAATGAATCATCGAAGAAATGAAGTATATTATGAAGTGAAAATCATAGAAATATGCATAAAACTTCTCATATTCACATTATGCCTAAGTCGTATATATTTATCACGTTTTAAAAGGATGTTATTTTGTTTAAATAGTAATAATAATAGTAGTAAAAATAATTACATGTCCTACTCAAGACTAACTGGAAACAGAAGATATAAACAGACAGGCTTGTCAAAGTCAATTTCTTCTACAATTCAATTTTGTTCATCTAAAACTGAAAGTAAACAAAGTTTATCTTTCCGATTTTTTATGGATTCACTAACTGTGATTGTAACTTTTTCATTTTGGTTAGTCTATTTATCTTATTGGAATTTAAATACTAATAACAACAGCAATCATAATAATAGTAATAATGATGCAAGCTCCGATTATAATAAAAATTCAAATTACCCTCCAAAATCATGTAACGATTTAAAGAATACAATGAATGCTGTAAATCCATTTCGTCATATTGATACTATTGAAAAAGGTATATGTGATACATCGAAAACTGTCTACAGTGAACAACAATTAATTCAGCTGAGAAGAATAGCCTTAGAATTATCTACAAATTTTATTAGTATACATTTATTTATTCAACTAACTGGTGCACTGTTGATAAATTTTAAAATAATATCAAATTGGATATCACGTAAATATATTGTACATGTAGTACGCGCATTAGATGGTGTTTCACATGATTATAAAATTGGTTCAAATAATTTAAAGTCAATTGCTATTTACATTATACAGAATTCATTGATTGATTTTCAGGTGAGTTGTCTTCAATGTTTTGCTTGTTTATTTGTGTTGAGAACATAGATATTATATTTAGGTCGTGGCTTTCGTAAGGATTTTCATCAGAGTAACTGAAGGTTTTGTCAGGAATCAATATCATTTAGAGAATCACTCACCACCAAGGGTAACTTACTGGATGCTGATATCGGTTCAAGATGAAATAGTCGTTGAAATTATTCAAAAATCCCTACAAAAGTTAAAATCTGACTACCGATCACTTTTACATTAGTTTGTGTAAAAGAAAGTTGTACAAGGAAGTCATAACTCTGATGGTAACCGTCATGTTAAAGGAAAGTGGAAAGCCATTTATATCGCTGGTTGAAGGTAGTGCTACGTCGGTAATTGACAGACGTTAAAATTCACAAGGTGTGTCAGTGGCACAAAGGTTGAGACGCTCGCCGATCATGCAAAGGGTTTGGGGTTCGATCCCTGACCACCAACGCATTCCTTTACCTCGATAAGCCAGAAATAAAGCTGGTAAAGAAGGAAGGTTGGGCATGAGGCTAACAACCTCATCCTGTAAAAATAAACACCACTGCTACAGAAACTTCAAGCCTCTAGCTTGAAGTTGCCCTATGTTCTACTCAGAACGTGAAGGAATAAAAAATATTTACCAGGTACTAAGAACCAACCCGGTGAGTGAATCATCAAGGGAGTCGTCTTTTTAATCCGATGGTCCTGGGTTCGATCTCTGGTGGGCTTCTACATACGCAGTAAAAGAAGTCCACGGCAAGGACGAAACAGATATCCACTGCTCCTTGGATTTTAATACTTGTCTAATTATACATTTGTAAAAAAAATTATATTTGTAATATCTCAGCGATATTGAAATGAGTAATTCCAACGTTTCGTTCGGCAATCTGGTCCGAACTTCTTCAGGGAAATTAATCAAAATTAACATAACAGAGGTTTTATATATAAAAGGCACATCTTTTGTTTTTAAAAACTTTGTCCAATCATGATTCATAAACACAAGTATTAACAAGTATAATAAACAAAATTGTATGAGCTGTGATCAAAATTTGACCTCGGACTTACAAATATTGGTCTACCTTTGTTAAACACTTTAAACAGAGTGTACATGCGTGTGTGTGTAAACAGTTGTAAAACATTTCTTAACGTCTTCATAAGAAGATATGGACAGTCAGGAATTTGACCAAGTATTATTAATTAGTGATACATATCCATTTTTATTTATTAATCAGGATTTCCTATGCATCAGCTAACATCAAACCTTCATGTCCGTTCAAACTGCTAGTATCTAGAATTTTATGATTAGACGCATTTTCAAAATTATGGTGTTTAGGATTAGAGTTTAGTTTAAGCACCCTGTCGAACTTATTGCATTGTCTTCTTTCTGAATATTGAGCTGCTTTATTCGACCTACTGGAGTTGTCAGGTGACTCGACAGCTACGGATTTAGGATGTGCATTTTGTTCCAGACAACGGAGACTGAAAACACGATGATTGTGCCAATTACGTAGTTTCTTTGTTAATTTAATTCGATAGCAAAATAATTCATATGAACTGTCGTCAAGATTTGACAGAATAGTTCTAAAATATTTGGGCGCCTAGTAAGAAGTAGACATTTGTAAAATTATTATTAATAATAATAATCACTTTATTCCAAACAATAATATTTATACAAAATGGAATTTTGGGAAATTTTATGCATATTCGAAAAATTTAGCTCTTTTTATAATTACATAAAATTGAAAAAATAACTAATTAAACTACAAAAGCTGAGAGTCAGTGGAACAATATTGAATTATAAATCAATAATATAATAGGTAATAATAGTAATAATCTTTACTTATACTCAATTGTTAGTTCAGCTACTGATTTAAAAAGTTTATAAGTTCTTTTCTGACATTTATCTCCTCTCACAAAAGCCGGGTTAAATATGGTATGGTAGAATTGTTATATTTTGCTATACAACCGTAAATTCTTATGAAATTTCTCCTAATTCTACCCAAAGAGATACGAGGAAGAAGTGGCGAATAAAGAGGATGTTCACTATCGGATTAGATAATTGTAGCCCGATAACTGCTTGCAAGTTTTAAAATGGTCAAAATCATGAAAACAAATCTAATCCTCACAAACCAACTTTTGAAAAGAATTAAGGCGCCTATCAAAAATAATGTCAGTTATTTGAGTCAAACACACACACACTAGTTTTTATTCCTTTACGTTCTCAGTGGAACATAGGGCTTCAAACTACAGGCTTGAAGTCTCGGTAGCAGTGGTGATTATTTTTACAGGATTGGGTTGCTAGCCTCACGCCCGACCTTCCCTCTTTACCAGTTTCATTACTGGCTTGTTGAAGTAAAGGAGTGCGTCGGTGGCCGGGGATTGAACCTCGGACCACATGAGACGTGGTTTACGAGCATCCTACCACTATGCCACACAATAATAAACCTAATTACAGTCTTCAATGTCCTACATAATATGACTCAGTCTTTTTTAAGAAGTCCAAGTGAGAATAAAAAAGAATGGGCATAATACGTGAATTAGTAGATTATAAGAGAACAGGTTGAGTTATGTCAGCAAGTATCAACTTCTTTATGTAATACGTCAGGCGATAAAAGTTTCTTAGAAATCAACAGAATATGAGACAATCAACAGAGATTTAAAGAGAAACTGCTGCCTTTGGTAGGAGACATTCAGTTTACTCCGTAAAACAGTGCTGTCAATATTAGCGGAAGCATGGGACTTTATCCATCCACACAAGTCTTGTTTCCATCTTTAACTAAAATCAGCAATACGAAATTTAGATGGATTCAGTTTAAGACCAATTAGGTGAGACTATTGTTTAACTTCAGATAAGAATCTGTTCATATAAGAACAATCCAATGGAGAAATTACTAGGACAGAAATGGTTAGATCATCAGCATATTTAATGAAATTAGATTTGGAAGAATACAGAAGGTCAAGTAAAAAGAAAGCGGGAAGGAATAGAGAGAGCATAGCACACCACCTTGAGTCACATCAATTTCCGTTTGCAGCGAAGTGGAGCACTTTCCATTTTGAAACAGTATATTTCGATCTACTCGAAAAACTGAGAAGATAGCCATTTTGTGACCGAGGACTCAGTGCGTGCTGAAATAAGCTTGCATGGTAAAATTGCCCTAGAAATCTTCATTGGGACAATATTCTTGTAGCGCTTCAGATATACTATAATCAAGTAAACCCTACTGGTGTGTGTGTGAGTGATTTTTGGCTAGCCGTGTCAAACTGGAGTACCCTCCAATACACAAACTCGCTTATTTTCCGATCACCATTTATGGTATCAGGCAGATCTTACAATGTGATCAGAATATATCAGCTTCCAGTAGGGAGCCCTGATGAATTCTAACTTAGAAAGGTGTAGTCTGTTAACCATAAATTTGATTCTATGGACTGCAGGTCTGTCCAAGCATCTGTCTTGTCACATTTTGGCTGGCTTGAACTGATTTAGCTCTCTGAGCTGAATGAATGAGCTCGACCATAAAGGAGCGAAATGGCCTCCAGTGTTGAAATTATTTTGATTCAGCTAGCAAGTAATACTGGTTGATATGAGTCGTTTTCAACTATTTATATGAATCGTAAGTGTATACCGTCTAACAAGCCATCTTCGTTATTATTTAATTGGTGGATACTGACTAGCAGTGCAATCCAGGATGCGCATTTCGTTCTATCCGGGACTCGTCATCTGGATGTACCTGCATTCCCCAGTGAGTGATGATGTTCCCACCGAGGCTGAAACCCAATGCTCATAGTTTCAAACGCCAAAGCATTATCCACTAGACCACTTGGGCCACGAGAGCTTTGGCGTTTGAAACTATGAGCATTGGGTTTCAGCCTCGGTGGGAACATCATCACTCACTGGGGAATGCAGGTACATCCAGATGACGAGTCCCGGATAGAACGAAATGCGCATCCTGGATTGCACTGCTAGTCAGTATCCACCAATCAAATTCTAATACATGCCTTGACATCGTCGAAGCATCTGCACAAGAAGCCAACAGACATGTCAACCTGAGACCAAGCACTTCGATCCAATCAATCGACGGGAAAATCTAAAATTCAATTAAATAATTTTGATTATTCATTGAAGCTATCACAGATTTTAATCTGAAGCAGTAACAGCAATACTGATTGCTGCACTTTCTCTTAGTCCCTTTATAATAATTAAAGTGTATAGTTTATGAAATGTAACTATTCTTCAATGTATCTCTAATGAGGAAGTTTTAAATCTACACAGTTAAATTTTAGCATAGGAGAACAGAGTCTTATTCACTTCCATCTTCAAATTAATTTCAGTCTGTAACGTTTTTTTTGCACCTCTAAATCCATAGAAGAAGTGGGCATTTCAGGAAAGGATAGCAATACAGAGCAGTTTAAATGTCTTTGAAAGCTAAAATACCTCATGAATACACATAAAGAAGATGCATCAATTTTTATACAACGTTCTAACTGTATGACACAACTCTCAGTAACTGACTGGTTTGTTAGCTAGACAATGTAATTTCTTTGAAAATAAAATAATTGCTACGAGAAATCTAACAAGCGGAAAACGTCTAAGCTCACCACTTTTATCCCTGTCAAAAAAAATAAAAAATAACATACCGCAGGACTATAGTGAAAGCCGTTTTCCTCATTCCTGTAAACGTCAATGTTCAAGTTAGCTAGTTAGTAAGTAGAAAAGAATGACGCATAAAGTTTTCAAAAATTAAAATCTCCTTGTCTCTGTTAATAATTGATAAGACAAACCCGTACTCAACATTCACTACAAACATGACTGAGTGATGACTCAGTGAAAGGATAATGTGAACAGGATACTTGACAGAAAGTTCAGTCTGAGTCAAATGTTAGTTAATACTTCGTTTGCACCTTCTAAAAAGGTTAAAATATTTGTGATGATAATCATAGTTAAATATCAAATGTTAAATGGCAAAACAGTTAACGTGATAATATATAGAACAAATCATAGGATG